CAGAACTGAATTTGCATTGTCTCTTGGAGTTCTTTGGGCTAAACCTGACATCAATCTCCCCAGACTGAACCCCAGCTCCCAAGCCAGCCAGCCACAACACCGTGAATTCCTCAGAGAGGTGCCAGTCTCATCCTCTTGAACTTCCCATGCTCCTGCGGTGAACTAAGAACATGCTTATCTCCCTCAGCCTGGCCTTCATAAGTCCATTCCATCACAGCTACTATGCTATATGAATACATGGTGCAGTAGGTAAAGCATTGCGACCTGGCATCCTCCTGGACAACTCCAAATATTTTGTACAAACAGTCCCACCATTCTCTGCCACTGGTTATGCTGCTGGGAATGGCAGTCCAAAATATCTGGAGATTGCCAGGCTGGTTAGCCCTACCTTTCTCCATTGAAAGACGCCATCATGCAAGAAGGGTGACGTTGGAGGGAAGGAATTCTGCAGCAGCCTCTGAAATCTGCCCATGTGCAGCAAACCCTGTTCCCAGGTCTGTCCTTCACACGTTAGGAAGCTGGCGGCCAAGCCTCACATGGCAACCACTAAGGGGGACCAGGATCTGGTGCAACTCCTCCTGCAACGCTGGAGTGACCCGGAATCCGGTCTAGACAAGGCCACGGAGATCCAGTATGACGTCTTTCTGTCCTTTCCAGACCCAGAGAGACCCAACAGGGTGACTGTGGGTGAGTATGGGGGAAAGGGCAGCCTGGGGATAGAGACAGTGCTTAAATAATGGTAATAACAGCAACGATAACAACAACAAACTATGGTTTGGAGTTGCATCTTTGCAATTTCCTTTGCAGCACTAAGATGCGTTGGCATCTGTGCAAAAATCATAACTTCCAAGTTTCCTGAAGTGGTAGTGAAATCGTTGAAAATGATGATGTTAGAAATGGATGGGATTGTTCCTACAAGCGATGGTCAGCTCAAATGCCGGATAGAGCAGTAACTGAAAAGAAAGGAGTCATTTTTGTAGATGTGGCTATATCGAGGGACAGCACAAATTGAGGAAAAGGGATTGGAAAAAATACAGACTATTGAGATCTAATGATTGAAAGATCATGGAGGAGATCTTTGCAAAGCCGCCTTTATGGCACGTGAGGTGGAACAGCAAACAGATTGAACAAATTTTTACAAGAATTAAATATATCAACTCTGGATTTAAAAAAAAATCCACCTTGTTGGGTACATGTTATATCTTACAGTGTTACTTGGATGATTCTTAGGTTCCCGGCTGGAAGTCAAATCTCCACATTTAAAGATTTGATTCTCTGTACTGCGTTATTCCTTGATGAGTAAAAACTGAGTAATAATAAAGATTTGGAGTTCTCCCTTAGCAATCACCACCCTGGGAATAAATTACCCTGATAAAAAATTCAGCAATGAATCGACACCTGTATATTTAAAAAAAACAAGTGAAAAGAGAAGAAAAGAAAAGGCGAGCACTGACCAGGGGAAGGAGATATTTTTGGAGTTATTTTGTCTTGCTGAGAAAAAGGCAGATGGAATTCAAAATCCTTTCCTGGATGTTTTGCAACGATTGGAGTAAGTGGTGAGCTCTCTGTTGATGGAAATCTTTTAAACAGAGACTTGATGGTCATCTGTCAGAAAGGCTATAATGCCCTGAAGGGGGAGCTGGTTTAGACTGGTGTTTTTCAAACTTGGCCGCTTTGACACGTGTGGACTTTAACTCCCAGAATTCCCCAGCTGTGGTGGCTGGAGAATTCTGGGAGTTAAAGTCCAAATGTCTTAAAGCAGCCAAGTTTGAAAAACACCGGTCTAAATGATCTCTGAGGTAGCTTCCAACTCTATTATTCTATTAATAATCTCTTCCTGTCACTGTCAAATTTGCACACAAAAAATCATACGGATTAAAGTTTAGGTCTCCCCAGCCATACAGAGATCTTCAGAGCCAAAGAGAGACAGTTGATTCTAACCCTGGGCTGTTATTTACAAAGGCCCGTTCAATGGCTTGCATAGCCTTTAATTTTTTTTAATATGATTTTTACTGAAACCTTTAAAAAAAGAAGTTAAGAACAAATCAAACTAAGGCAGAAAAAAAGAAAAAGGAAGAAATCAAAGAGAAAGCAAAAAGTGCAAGAAAAGAAAAGAAAAAGTTTAAGAAAAATAGAAAAGAAAGAACAAAGATATTGGCTTCTGATCTTCTTTACAGCAGTTACAAATACAATTATATTTTCACCTCTCTCTAAAGTTTATTTATTTATTTATTTATTTATTTAATAAATTTATCCCTGCCCATCTCCCCCTAATGGGGGACTCTGGGCAGCTCACAACTCATTAAAACGATAAATAACTATACAATGACATAAAACCTAAAACCTGTTAAAAAGTTACTTTCATAACTCTCTTCTTTCTATAATCTATCCTGTCTAATCTTCAACACCATAAATCACAAGTTCCCTTTTTTTCATAGTTACGTAAAAAGTCACCAATAAATGGAGATAGTCCCCTTTATCCATTTAAAACTTTCTTGGATTCCCAATCTTGTTAAGCTTTTTGCTTTTCAATTAAAATCCTTTGAAATAGCATTCCCCCCCCCCATGTCAAAAAGAAGGCACTCACCGAGAGTCTCTGATCTTCACTGCGTTCAGAATACAGTGGTACCTCTACTTACGAACTTAATCTGTTCCGTGACTCTGATTGCAAGTCGAGTTGGTTGCAAGTCGAGGTAAATTTTCCCATAAGGTTCAATGTAAATACGGTTAATCCGTTCCGCCCTCCGAATTTGGTCGCACCCCGAAGCAAATTTTCCCATAAGGTTCAATGTAAATACGGTTAATCCGTTCCGCCCTCCGAATTTGGTCGCACCCCGAAGCAAATTTTCCCATAAGGTTCAATGTAAATACGGTTAATCCGTTCCGCCCTCCGAATTTGGTCGCACCCCGAAGCAAATTTTCCCATAAGGTTCAATGTAATTACCGTTAATCCGTTCTGGCATCCACACGCCGCGCGTCAGGGGCGGAGAAGCGCCCACGCGCCGCGCATCAGGGGCGTGGCGGGGCGGCAAAACGCCCACGGACCACGTGTCAGGGGCTGAAAAATGGCCGCAGACCATGTGTCAGGATGGAAAAATGGCCGCAGACCAC